TCCCCACGGATGTGAAACTCAAGCCGTGAACTGAAATTTTTGCTTGTGAAATATTTAGAGGATTCTATCTCTTCGCCAGCTGGTGTAATTACTCGTAGTCTGCATCTCAATGTGAATAATTCGTCCTTTGTGGGGTTAAATTGAAGTCACATACAAAAAATAATTGTTTTATGGAGCATCTGTGTGAGTACTGTAATTGTCTCACCACTGTTATATTTTAAAATTTCACTGATTTATGTACATGGTTGGTGGAAATTGACAAGAGGTCATAACTTCAATGAAATTATTGTATCAAGTTCTTCGGAAACAATTTGTCATGAGATCCCATAGCATACTGCAGACAAAACTAAATGAACATTCACAAAGTTTATCCAAGACTTAGACGTATAGACTGACGAACTTACAACGCAGTTGATTTACCAACTGCTCCATAAGCATTGTTAACGTAGAGCAATACAATGCACTATACGAGTTCATTTGAAACTTCTTAAAACTTCCGTGGATTTCCACCGAAGAAAGAAACCAGGTATTTGCATTCTGTTTTCGTTCCGGGGAGAAGATAACCATAACTAATATCTTGAAGGTATTAAACTTCTCCCACTGTCATTCGCCCGGCCTCACAAAAACATTTACGCCTTCATATTGACTAGGTGTAGTATCTCGCGAATTCGGGGAGAGTACTGCAGGTAGATCACTCGGTTCTGAGAATAGCTTTCTCTTCTTGGACAGCGATTCAGAGTCGGAAGTATTCGAACCTAAGATATCCATTACGCAGGCATTCGCATACAGTCATACAAGTCAGTGACGGATGTTAAATGACGGTTGGAGAATGCAACAGTTTATTGTATACGAAAAGGTGAGTATAACGAAAACATGTTATGTAAATATGTTGAAAAAGGTTGAACCCAACAAACAGTGGAAAAACGGTCATAAATGAAAACGTTAGGAACGTGGGGGGTATAGAGATACAAGTGGAACACGACGAGAAAAACTGAAGGGAAAAACGATACAGCGAACCATACAAACGTAACTGTACAACAGAACAACTCAGTGAAAAGTGTTCAAGTTGGGACTTATCGAGGCGACGGCCGTCGACGATCGTTCACCGGAGATTAGTCCTCACGATCGACCTACAAGAGAGTGGTCGTGATTAAAACAAGAGGGTTTTTGTCCATTAGATCTGTTGGGGTGTTACATAGGGACATATTATTCATTTGTGCTTTTAAACCAAGTAACAAAATAAATCCCCAAAACTACGACATCCAGATTCACCACGCCAGTGAACGTGGAAATTTTACGGAGGATGTTCATGTTTACGACACTTTAAGTTTTGTCTTTGGAATTCCAGACAGAATCAAAAACCATTTGGCTGTCAGTTTCCCAGTTAAGCACCAAGTGAGCATGCGGCGCCTTTGGATATTAACGAGTTGTAGGGCGGCGACCTTCAAGAACACCTTACGCAGGCAGCGGGCATCGTTCGAAATCCGAAAAGCACTTAAGTGGGTGCGCAAATGGAGTAATAGCAAGGTATGAAAAGTTACGTGACAAGTCCTCCGGGACTGATAAATTTGAATAAGAGTTAACTCAATTAAGAGGGACGCAAATCTTGACGTTTTTGTGCAGCAGTAAGGCTGTTGAAAGTAGCCATGTAGTTACCGGGGATCTTTACTTCTGACGCATGCACTTGGAAAATAAAGTTAGTTTTTACACCAAATTTAAGCGTTATGTTTCGGATTTACCCTGTGGGCAGGTTTGTTAATTATTGTCATCATTTAGGATGTCGAGGTGCGATAGTCGATAACTCAAGGCTCATCAAGTCAAAAGACAGCAAAGCAGAGTTGTTTGGACAAATTATACTAGGTAAGAGAGCGTGAAGGCAGCTCAGCAGGCAGCGAAGCAACTGTCCTCATCAGCCCTGTCCAATGTTGTATTGGTCCTCCTGAGCGTAAAGTTTGTGCCTGGGTCTGAGCCCTGCGGGATTGCGACCGATCGATAAACACGAAAATAACAATCGGCATTGTAACATTGGAAAAACACAAATGGACATGTAGTGGTTGACAGGCTTGTTAGTAGGACGGAAGGCCGCATGCGTAAGCGGCTTCGCTGATGACCGCAAGAATGGAATGCTGCAAGCGATACCAGACCAATCTTTGGCTCTTTCTTGAGTTCTTTGGAGAAATCGGACGTGCTGAGACAGAACTTGTTAGCTTCTTGGCAAGATTTAATGTGAAGTACCTCAACATGCATTTGTTTATTTGCGCAAAACAAATATTTGGTAACTGTTACTCAATGACCGGAACTCCGATTTCAAGGTCATTTTGTTTTGTGCATTTTCTCCGCTATACAAGAGTTTTTTCGAATTTTGACCAATGCGTTATTGACGTAATATAATCCTGATATTAATTCTACCCGCCACTTTATCACGGAATCAGTTTTGTTTATAACAAGGCAGGACATTTTACGACCTTATAAATCTCAAGAACGATTACATAGGTGCACCTAGGTTTCATAGACAGGAAGCATATACTGGTAATGCTATTATTTAGAACAATAGCAGAGCAATACTCCTATTTGCTTTTAACCGAATCCAAGGGACTTTCTTAGCGTTGGTATGCTAACAAATAGTACTTATGCCAAAAACAATTTGTGACTTGTCATTTAAATGACAACCCTGCCAGCACCAGCCCCGCCTAGCCCCGCCTGGCCCCCTCAATAATGGCGGGGCTAGAGGGGGCTATGAGGGGGCTAGGCGGGGCTGTGGAGGGGGCTGTGGCGGGGCATGCAACGCGATAGCCCCGCCTAGCCCCGCCAGCGAAAAAAAATGCGCAGGGGACGCCACATCCCAGCTGGGCTAGCCCACTTTTGGCACCACTTTAAAATATCGTCCCCATTGTCAAATATACGAATTAATAACACACACAGATTGTAAACCGGTGGACAAATAAGAGTTTAAGCAATGAGGGACTTAAACAAAACCTCAATATATTGTGCTCATCCGCAGCTTCATTCAGTGGGCGTAAACGGATGCTTTCTCCATGGTTTATAAGCCAATTTTGATAAATTAGCTCCTTTAAATTCCAAAGAAGGTACAATAAGTGGTGCTTTTGGAACATATCTTTCGATGCAAATACGCTTCAAAAGGCTTCAATCCAGAGGGGGCTCTGGCCCCGCCCAGCCCCCTCCAGTCCCACTTATGAAGGAGCCATGTGCTGGCAGGCGGGGCTCTGGCCCCACCCAGCCCCTTCCAGCCCCGCCTATGAAGGGGCAATGTGCTGGCAGGGAAATGATGCCATCGGCACCGCATTAATTAACCGTGTGCTTGGCACAGTGAATGATTGTTGTGATAACGGTTTGAGTCATACAATACTGAAATTCATGATTTCATTTTTGTTCTTTTCTTTATTTGTCATCTGATTGTACAATTAACTACCCTGCCAGCACCAGCCCCGCCTAGCCCCATCAAAAATAGCGGGGCTAGAGTGGGCTATGAAGGGGCTAGGCGGAGCTGTGGAAGTGGCTGTGGTGAGGCATTCAATACGACAGCCCCGCTTAGCCCAACCAGCAAAATAAAATTCACAGGGACGCGGGAACAGCAAAAGATCAAGTTTATTAGCGCAAAATGGCCATTTGGTGAGGGGACCAACTAGCCTTTGGGTCTGATCAACCTATAATCAACCCTGCCAGCATCAGTCCCGCGTAACTCCCTTAAATATGGCGGGGCTAGAGGGTGCTATGAAGGAGCTGTGGCGGGACATTCAACACGACAGTCCCGCCTGGCACCACCAGCGAAGAAAATAAGCAGGGTCGCCAGATTTCCGCCCACTTTAGGCACTCCTTTAAAATATCGACCTGTATGATGACTCCCCTGAGGTGAACACACATAATACCTGCCGGCAGAAGTTTCAGAGCTCAGAATAGGCATTTCTCTTTCGGGGATTGATTGCCAACTGCTGTCGACGTTGAGGGAACCTCAGACTCAGGCTCTTCAGTGGCCTCATAATATGCCTACATCTGGCGCTTAATGCGTTTGTATGCAATGGTTTGGTGAGAGCCACAGTAATAAAGCGTCATAATTGCTTTGGATATTAAGTAAAAAACGATAATAAAAATTCGTATAAGTGGACTATGAATATCAATGCTAACTAGTACATACATAGACATACAAGTTGACTACTTGAACTGGTTTGTGAGTAAATACCCAAACAATTAGCATAAGATACATAAATTAACTAAGACAGTTATTGGGAGCATGAAAACACGATGCACGATATTATCGGCGAGCCGTGGGCGTAAACGAATGCTTTTTCCCTGATTTATAAGTCACTTTTGATACATTAACTCCTTTTAATGCCAAAGAAGGTACAATGAGTGAAGCTTTTGAAACATAACTTTTGATGCAAATACGTCTCAAAGTGCTTCAGTCCAAAGGGGGCTCTGGTCTCATCCAGCCCCTTTCCAGCCTCGCCTATAAAGGGGCCATGTGCTGGCAGGGTTATAATTATAAGTAATTTAAGTTGTATGCAACTTAATTGTACGTACTATAGATTCATGAATTCATGAACGTCAAATAGTTGACACTGATTTCCTACTTTAGGGTAGCTTCCATTATCATCAGCACTTCTGTTGTAGAAAGTGGCACACTCCTGTCCGTAATGTCCCGATATTTTTACAGTACGAGTTTACAATCGTGGGATCGTGCATTGGCATATGGCAATATGTCAATTACCGTGGTAATTATAAGGTGCGCTCAACCGTTGTGCACGCTCTTATGCGTCGAAGCACATGTTGACATTGGGTGCGGGAATCGGTGGGATTTATGAGGCGTCATTTTATACAGAATTCAATAAAATTGCTTAATAAATATATTTATTATTGTACAAGGATATCACGGAAAATGCTTTGTTAGCAAAAACAAACTGGCCGCATTAAACGTAATCTCGGCCCAGTTCACTAATACCGGTTTTTCTTGTGGATCTTTCGCCCCTGTTTTACATAGCAAGATGATGTCACAGAAACCGGAACTTCTGAAAGGCTGCTTTGTTTTTGCTAATGGAGATGTCTACGAGGGCGAATACGCAGTGACCAATTCTGGCATACGCAGACATGGATTCGGGAAGTATATTAGACCGACTTTTCATGTGCATGATATGGAACAGGAAAAATTGCTTAAACGAGAGGAAAGCACTGAGACAGCTGAAGAGGATAGCGATGAAGAGAAGAATGCCGATGCCAGAAAACCAATCTCTAAACTTATATACGAGGGTGATTGGATAGACGACCAGATGACTGGTGAATGCAAGATTTGGTTTCCTGGCGGATGCTATTATGAAGGTTCGGTTTACAAAAATCGGTAACTCTTTCTAAACGCTTTTCGCATACAGCGTATGGTATTTCGTTTTCCAAAATAATCCAGAGATAGATTTTTAAAGAGTGGTTCAGAACTGTAATTGTTTCTGTGGCGTTGGTAGATTCTGACGGGTAGATTTTTATTTTACATCAAAAAACCTGTTTCTAAAGTGCCACATGCATATATTTTAAAATATTCCTTTACGAGAACAACATTTTCCGTAATTTTATTAAAATGCATACAGTTCGTTCAGTCTTAAGCACTGCTGGTCGATATCTCCAAATGGAGAACCGAAAGAGAAGTTGCCCACTCTCGAACAAATATCTTTTTCTAAGAACTACGAAAATCTATATTTGGCGAGTGCCCTTGTTGATTCTGGGACTCAAAACAAAATGATATTCATATAAGATCTAAATGGCGTCTTAACCATACAGTCGGAGTCTTAAAATGATAGAAAATTACCAAATGCTTGGCACACCAAATTTTTTTGCAGCAAATATTTAAAGACGAGAGACATTGTTTACTTCGTATTAAAACTAAAATTATTTGCCTTCAAAATTATATGAACGGAGGACATAAGACATAAAAGCAACCAGCATTCGCAGACGTTAGTAATATATCGAGTAAACATGCCTCTGAACACCGTAATACATTCCAGACTTTCAGTTTCATTGAATTTGGCAGTTCTAAGGCAGTTTTAACATTTAGCTGTTGAAAAGCGACAAAGGAGTCGTTTAAAATCTTGTCCAGGGAGACGCTGGTATTCGCCAAGAGTTTTTTCAGTTTTCTCCAAGTGCAGTGCATTTTGTCAGATTTTTTAATGTGAATATTTTGTAATAAGGACATTTAAAAAAACAGTATTTGACTTAAGTTCTCTCGAAGGTGTCCGAAGGGACTCGAAAATTTTGTTCTAAAGACTTTGTCTCGATGCCTTTTAATAAGTTCGGAAATTCTCTTTGGATATCTTAATTTGTAATCTGCAGACGCGCTGATGCACGAATCCACTGGAAATCCACGAGAATCTTTATGAGCATATGTAATAATTATAAGTGGAGAAAGAGGAAGTCACTTTCATAATGTCTCAAGTAAAATACTTTCCGACAAATGTGTATTTGCATGACTAAGTAATTATTTTTTAGTCTCATAAACGGGACGTTGTTTTGAGATCTATGGCAAACACATGACAAAATTAGAAAGCTGTGTCTACTCTTTATTTTGGACAAAAGTTTGATTTATCTCACTAGTTATTTTTTACTGTTTCTTGCCTCCTTGCCTTAAAAACAAATTTTTCTAGTAAATTTGGAGTCTTTTTTTAGGGTTTAAGTAGGCTTTTTGCGGAACATTCCGAGAGAGAGCTAAGTATTCTTCATAAGTCAACTAAACAAGATATATAAGTCAATGACTAACTGAAAGTCCGTAAAAAGCGGAGCATGCATGTTTATGCGTTAATTCCTATGCCTACTAGTTGCAAAGTTAATGCTGTAAAACTATGTTAATCGATTCAGTCATGTGTCAGTTGCCTATCATCTAGAACGCACAATTACTGAAAACTACCATGTTTGAGTAGACTGGGAAATTGTAGATATCCGTAGCACACAGCGTCGGGCGTATGCTCTGATAAACGGATGACCAAAAAAGAAAGAATAAATTTTATCCCAGAAAGGAAAGCCCAGAGTGGTTTTCTGAGTGGCTTAGCGTGAGCTCAAAGTAATTTTGTACTGGGAAATTTTGAGAAGACTTTATCTCAAGTAGAGAGAGGAAATTCGGGAATCCTGTTCGCAGTAAAGTGCAGGCATCGCGGACACCAAATACGCGTCAGTATATGCACAGTTAAGGTTTGTCGATGGGAGCTGACGATTTTCATTCGCGCAAAGCTAATCCCTGGACGATATGGTGATCAACAATATTATTATCGCTACTTGCAAGTTTTGAGTAACGTTTTTATTTTATTCCAGTTTACACGGGAGGGGAATGTACAGATGGCCCAACGGCCTCTCGCTCCGAGCTGTCTTTTACGATGACTATATAATGGAAAACTCCGCCATTGAACTCACAGATTCCAAAGGCGAAATTTGGAAAGGCAAAATTTCTGAATCACAACAATCCGAGTTATCACCCCTGGACTTTAATAAACTGGAGGAAAAAATGGCACCGGAGAATCTGAAAAGCTTTAATGCTTTACGCTTTCTTTTAAAAAACATGTAATTTCAATCTATCGATGTTCTGGACTAAATAAATTGGCGTGAAGCTCTCTTTCTTATCTCCTTCCAAATTTGATTTTTGTCGGCTTCCTGGTGTTTCTAAAAAAGTTACCCCTCCGAAAAGTCATAATTTGCTTTCATATTTTATTCACGACTCCCAAAAGCTGTTTTCTCCTCTTTTTCCTAATATACACACGCTGGAAGTGTAGAGTTGTACATCAAGAGGCGGATATTTTTGCGGGACTGCGAATAAAAGTACAAATGCATTCGAAATACTTTTTTACTTGGTCATCTTCGATGCATATTGTGAAATTAAAAATATCCCACAGGAACGTTTAAAGGAAAAGGTATCATTGTACCTTGGCCCACCGCCGATTCCTACAACGGCAAAAAAGCGAGACTGGTTGGTGATATTGGTTGTTCACCGCTGTGCTACCTGCAAGAGCTTTATATTGCATAGTTTCAGAAAGACAAGTTATGCGTAAGCCGCCCTGAAACGAGACCAGGCCGTAAAACGCTCCCTCGCAGTAGTATTTGAAAATCCTAATTTTCAGTCAGTATGCCCTACACGGGCTTAAAGAATTGTGTGCCTCTGTTATGCCATGATTCAGCAAACCATGGCTCTCGCAGCCTAGTGTGAGTTGGCCGTTCTTTGGCACCTGCCAGTAGATGTGCTTGCGCTCCCACTGGGTATACAGGCTGTGTGTAGGACACACACTGCGTCCGCTTACCGGCAAAAAGACGAAATGAATATCGATTTTTCAGTACGTTTGAAATGTTAACTGTTTGCTGCCCACTCACTCAAGTTTGATGACAACCTGAGGAACCAGTATCGAAAATGTACCTAACAAAGTTTTCCACTTTTTTCTCCCAAATTAGAAAATTTTGGTAAGTAGATTTTCGACGCTGGTTGTCTAGGCCGACTTCAGATTTGAGCAAATGTGCAAAAACAATTAACATTTAAAAAGTGCTGGAAAATCGATATACTTTTGGGATTTGCGCCAGTAGGCGGCCGCTGTATACATCATTCGGTATTTATTGGCTCTCTTCTCTTCCACTTTTCCCTAAGATTTTTGTATGTGGCATCTAACTCTGTGTCGATTGATGCATAATTTATCGGAGTGCTTGGCTTCGAGAACCTCTCGGATTTTTTTAAAGGGGCAGAGTCCGACAATGCGATTTTTGTCCCATGCGAACGTGTGTCTGGTGTCTAGACTGTGCGTGGCCATTTGAGACAGGTACTCTCGCCTTTTACTTAATAAAGTTCTCTACTTTTCCCGAAGAACGTATGTGCCTTCAATATATACATATACATATACACGCAGAGGGAGACTACCGACAAGAACAAGGGCGACCAACACGATCGTTTCTGACCTACTAGACGTCGTCAGTCATTCTTAACCAACCTAAGTTTGAGACAACTGAGTCCCAAACCCGCACTCTTTTAGCCATCAGTCCAGCGCTTGCTCATATTAAGCTTATCATAACTCAGTAAGAACATAGGAAATAGATTAGTTCCCATGGAAACACGATTAATTGAAATTTTCGATCATAACATATTTTATCGGTCCACCAATCTACTTTCTGGGGTTACTGAAGTCGGGTGTCAAATCTTCATGACGGTCTTTCTACTCCATCCGGCGACGCCAGTTTCCTGGTCATATGAGTTTTCCGACTTCCTACAATGCGTAGTGGGTTACCATCGGTTATGCGACTTCAAATAGGAATCCCGGGCCAAAACTGTTGACAGTATTCAAACAACTGAGTGTACATTTTCTTCTAGACTGACTCGCGAATGTGGGGAATGCTGTGGTCCCTGGCACATGGTCTTCCGCTGTCGCTCCGAGTCTTTTTTGCGCCGTCTTTTCCTAATGACAGAAGAAGATCAGTGAAGCAGGAGTCACAAAGATTGACAGACCTCCTCAGAAAGTAGTTATATACACTAGGTTCCTACATATTCCGACAGCGTTGACCTTGTGCTTTGTGTTGAACTGTCATCAGACCTCCAAAGCAAAGGCTTCCAAAATCAACTTATAGATAACATTGTTGACAATTGCAGTGTCTCAAAAAGGAGTGCCCATACATTAGCTACTTTAATGCACACCGCATAACTATTTCTAAAGGGCCTTTTATATTCCGCTACTCTCTTATCAGTATCTTCGTTCGTGATGTCTGATGTCTTAGACGGTGTCATACTTACGGATATTCCCACCGACGTCGCCCGCGAGGAAGGTGCCGAAATCCAACAGCAATGCGAACGGGAGCGAACCGCCAGTACGGAGGCGGCGGTGATGAGCGAGGAGGCCAAACCCCTTTCCGCAGAAGAAAAGGCCATTGAAGCTGGCTTCCAAAAAATCAGGAAATTAGATTCCATCCTGGAGCAGGCTGTACGAAGGGAAAGAGAGGTGAGTCGCAGTCTTTAGCTGCCCGAGAAAGTTATTCTTCGGGAAAAATAAGCCACGCATCATATGCCTTGGGACCATGAATGGGCGCTCAGTTAGGCTTGTAGTGATCACACCCGTGAGAATGTGTGTAGCCTGTGAGTTACAGTTAACAAGTCAAATCCCAGATTGGAAGGAGAGGACGGAAGGCACCAGATTGGTGATTTAATATATACAGAACCCGGAGTTGTCCTCTCAGGCGGCAGTGGCCACTGGCGAAACCAGGGCTGATGTTGACTGCATCCAGTCAGGCCTGAGAGTCCTTGAGATAGTGGTGGCAGCCGCTTTTGTAGGCTCGTGGGACATGGTCAAGTGGTGTCCAATCAGGGTGTGTTGCATTTGCCGAGGGGTGGTGTCCCAGTGACTTGTTTTGCTGGTTACAGGGGGTGGCGCGTTCAAGTGGCGCATGGGTGGCCGCGACGCTGTAGGGATGCAATTGTGTTCGAGCTGAAGTCGGTCGGGCGGCTTCAGGTCAGCGCGCCTGGAACGGCTCGCTGCAAGGGGTGAATGATCTTGAGGCAGCAAGCTCTTGAACAATGACGCCAGACCGGTCATGATTGCTGGCCACAACGAGCTGCATGCACCGAAGTTAGGGCTGCTCACATAGCAATTTCAAGTTGGCAAATGCTTTACTGATGTCAGAAACCATGGCTGAAAGCGGACCAGCATTCTTGAAGTCCCTAGAGTCCTGAAAGAAGACAGACACCTACTAAGACGCATTTTCATAGCGGATATTGAAATACGAATTCCAGGTGGTTACAGAAAAGAAGAAAATGAGGACAGGTCCGGGCCGAATATTCAGTCTTGATGCTCTTACTCAAACTCTTCCTCTAGCTATGAGTAAGCACAGGGCTTCCGGTGAGACATTATAATTATCGTGGTTAGAACGTTAGCTGCACTCGAGCCACGCCCTAACTGTGGCAGGTTCGAATCCCACCGTGGTCGGCAAGTTTTAAACAAGTGGGCGAACTCATTTGTTTAGATATAATTTCTATGCTATCTAAATATAGCCAATAGCATTTTTATAGTGACAAATAGGATGTATGGAAGAATTCTATCCCCTGTGTACGAACAGGGGGGGCAACAAAAACTAAACCGGGTCGAAGGTCGACCACTAGAAGCCGGTTTACTTGCATGAACTTCTAGACTCCACTGGAAGACCGATTGTCCAGAGTCGCTGCCCACAACTAGACGACATATCAGGAGTTCGACTTTAAGACCATAAAGTGAGCAGTTTGGAGTGGCACTAAAACCGGCCTAGAACGACATGAACCACCCCTCCCCTTCCCTAACATCAGAAAAACAGTTTCCTTAAACAAAATATGGATCTGCCAAGCGTTTCGAGCCCAATGGCAGACCATTTGGTCGCTTTTAGGCCAGCAACACGCGCGCACGCAGCTAACCGCGTCTAGTTTAATGTTTTTCCTCGCGTCTGAGAATGAATTCACGCATGATTCCGGGAGGAGATTCAAGCAAAGCTATTATTTGGATCTTCCTACTCCACTGTTCAGGCAACAGTTGGCTGAGAAATGAAGATTCTGCCACGCGTACTTGACTTTTTCCTCCAAATTGTAAAGCTAAGGTTGCAAAGGTAAACGAACAGCAAAATGCAGCGGTTGGCGGCTAATACGCCAAACGTTTTCGACGGGTGTTGGGGAACCTGTTAAGCACGGTCGTCAAATGAAACGAAAATAGACATTCCTCGGCCGACTAACATACTGTTCAACCGCCCAGCTCTTGCTACTTGTTGCCCGTAAGTAGCATCTGTTTCCACGAGTTCGATACCATCCCATTCGAGTTGTCTAGGTCCCACCTAATTCTCCCAATCTCTGTATCAGAGTCTAATCTGAGCACTTCAGTAGTTCTTCATAGGGCTTTTGTCGTTTTTCGGTCCACCCTACTCCTATGTCAGGCGGCGGACCTGAGATTTGAATTAACCGATTAACATAATTCAGAACTACGTACGTTAAGCGCTAACGTTCTGCCAGATGCAATGCAGTATACTTAAGACAGTGGGAAAGGCAAAACGCTATTTTCCATTTGTCAGTTTTTGTTGAGGTGGGTCGGAACTCGATGCGTCATTATTGTCGTCTGGAGTCTACTCTCAACAGGAAACCACCAGGCCAAAAAATCAGGAAATTAGATTCCATCCTGGAGCAGGCTGTACGAAGGGAAAGAGAGGTGAGTCGCAGTCTTTAGCTGCCCGAGAAAGTTATTCTTCGGGAAAAATAAGCCACGCATCATATGCCTTGGGATTATGAATGAACGTTCAGTTAGGCTGCATGCACCGCTGTTAGGGTTGCTCACATGAGCGATTTCAAATGGCAAATGCTTCACTGATGTCAGAAACCATGGCTGAAAGTAGACCAGCATTCTTGAAGTTCCCAGAGTCCTCAAGGAAGACAGATACCTACTAAGACGCATTTTCATAGCGGATATTGAAATACGAATTCCAGGTGGTTACAGAAAAGAAGAAAATGAGGACAGGTCCGCGATGAATATTCGATCTTAATGCTCTTACTCAAGCTCTTATTCTGCTGTGAGTAAACGCAGGGTTCCCGAT